AGTCTCTGAGATTTGGTGACCACAGAGACCAGGGGAAGAAGTGGGGAGATTGTCTCCAGGTTCTGGTCAGTGCGGGACAGTGCTGGACGAGATTCCAGGTCCACCTGTTATGTTTTCCCCAGTACTGGCCTTGTGCTTCCCACCCCAATCTAACCATCGAGACTCCTGGTGACTGCCTGAAACCTTAGATAAAGTTGAGCTTTAAGTTGAATGGTAAGTGTAAGGTGCTGTTTGTTACATACATGTAAGGGAAGAGCTTTCTTTAGTCCCTTTGAACGGCCAGCATCTCTCCTTGTGCTTTGGGTAAGTAAAACAGGGATTATTTGAACTCACCACTGCAATGCCACGGCAGCCACTCTGATGGCTACTCAGTGACTCACGGGAGGGAAGGAAGTGTGTATGGCATGGGAAAGCCAGCCAGAGAGATGGTCTGTGCCGCGGGCAGGACAAAGAAGGGTGGTGTAAAATGCAAAGAAAAACTATGAAATGTCTACTTTTGGAATATTCCTTTTAACCACTTTTTGGTCCCATTTGTCTGAACATAGCTGAAGACATGGAAATGGATGGAGGGGGTGGCGTGCACGGTGGTGCTCCTCCTCCCTGGTGTTCATAAGGGCATTAGATGTGCTCACGGGCAGTATCCGTAACCCAGAAAAGCCGGTCCCCACTTCTCCATAAACACTCCCGGTTCCAATGCATTTTCTGCCAGTGTCACGTTTTCTGCAGTTTACGTTTAGTCAGTGGGTTTTTTTCGTTTGTTTTTATCACTCATTTTCAAATTTCAGTTCTAATTTAAGTTTGCTGGCTACAGCTGCTTTTAGAGAATCCTCATTACAAGTGGGGAGAAATATCCCGCTGTAAAGTTCATTCACCCCGGAGTCCAGCTTGTGGGCCACTGGATTTCCCAATATTCCCGTCTCACATTCTTTCTCGTAGCCTCTCTTCACAAGCCTCTCTGGCAGGGCTCCCGTGATTGAGAAGGGCTGGCCATAAAGCCAGTAATTGAATCGCGGCCCTTGTTAGTTAACGGGGGTCAAGGCATCGGATCGAAATAATGCAACTTGGTGTGTTACTCAGAGATTCCAGGAAAGCTTTTATTTTTTCCTGTGATTTTCACTTTCCACCCTAAAGCGGTAAACAGCAGTGGCCTTGTTCAGCTCGCGCACAGACAGCGCGTGTTCGTCTTCTAAAGCTACGCCCTCTACTGGCGTCACTACGCCCTCTACTGGCGTCACTGCAGAAGGCGTTTAGAAAGTGCCCAGCCTGTGGCGAGTGTGCTCTGGAGTCTGAATCTAAATTTACGTATCTTTTAAAGTAAATACTTGACTAGTGTAAAGACGTAAGCATCTTCAATCTAGAAAACCATTGTTAGGCAGTGCCTGATGGTACTTCTTAGGTGGCTGAGGCAGGAGGATGGCTGTTCAGAGATAAACTTGTCAATAAATGGTAATAAAACAAATAGCAGCAAAACAGTATCAGTGTGTTGTGTGTGGGGGGGGCGGGTACTGGGATAGAGTTCAGTGGTGGAATACTTGTCTAGTGTGTGTGAGGGAGGCTCTGATTTAATCACCAGTTAGAGCAAAGAAGAGAAAACTCCTTCAGGCTGTCATGATGATCTGCTACCTGACCAAGGAGGCTGTCAGAAAAACTGATACAGCTTCATTTCAGGACAACCCTGAGAAAGCTTAAGTGTGCAGTTACACAGTTCTCACACTCATAAGGTACACAGATCTGTTTGTATTTCTGGAGTCCCGTTATGCGTTGGACATGTGGTGAGCCTCCAGCCCCGTGGACGCACAGAACAAGCAAGTCTCCTTCACAGAGAAAGTGACCCCTGCAGTTGGCCTCCAAGAATTGGGTTTTCTATGCAGAGTATGTAGACCTATGGCCCCATTTCCCATGACTCCCAGCACGGACTGCATTGGGCCACCCCTGCAGCTGCACCAACGTATCCAGTTAAGGACTTCCCCAACGTTTGCCCGAAAGCTGAGACCGTTCACCTTGATTCACTGCCTCCCAGGCGGACTGTGTTCCTAGCTGCCCTGTGCTCACGCCCAGTCCCTCTCACCGTTTTGAATTCCTCATGGGGCCTGTCCTGCTGCTTGGACCCAGCAGGAGGATCATGGCTTAATGAGTTGTTGATAGCTGACTCTTGTTTTATAGACAACAGCGTGAGGCACAAGTTGCCGAGGTGGCTTCCTGGAAGTTGTGTGACAGTAGTGGGTTTAGCATCTAGGCCTAGCCCCCGTGTCTTCTAACGAGCATTTTCAAACTACCCAACACGCTTTTCTGGCTCCCTTGAGCCCTGAGGGTCCCCTTACCACAAGGTTTGTCCTGGAATAAAAAGGTCTTGGGGTGCCCTCTACTGGTGTTGCTAACGTCAGCCAAGCTGGCGGAAATCCTGCCTTCCTTTGTGTGACCAACACAAGCAAGACCATTATTACTACTCAGTCTGCTGTCGGTTCTTGCCCATAAAGGGACTTGGATACTTCACTGTCTTGTTCATTTAGGATCCCGAGGGATGGATATAAGCACACTCCCCTGTGGCTGAGGATGAATGGAGGAGCTATAACAACTCTTGGCCCCTTTCAGACAGTTACAGATCTTACCTCCAGTTTCAGGGAGAGGACTCAAGACTCTGCTCTTGTGGCTTATTCAGATGTAACCCAGGGCTCCTCCCCACCCCCTTGCTCTCACAGGCTGCCCCCTCCATTAGAATTCCCCACTGCAGAGTGTACAGTAGGCCATCAGTATTCCTATTGGTAAAGTGCGGACAGTCAGAGTCAGTGGGGGCTCCCTTAACCCAGGCAGAGTCAGTGGGGGCTCCCTTAACCCAGGCTGAGTCAGTGGGGGCTCCCTTATCCCCAGGCGGCATGGACCCTTTATCAGCTTTCCCCTTGGCTCTCCCTCACAATCCTCCCTCACTGGGCACCATGCAGGGACCAAAAGGAAAAGAAAGTGGTGAAGTGGTGTGGAGGAACAGGTAAAACATGCTGCCCTTCACGTAAGATTAAGTTCAACTGAAAAGCGGTAAGCTAAATCAAACCTAACCTCAGGTTCTCCCTACAGTTTCCTCCGCTGCCTTGACTGTCTGTTGGAGGTAATGGCCCTGACTCGCATCTAAAAGCAGCTGGGATTTGATTTGTCAAGGTCGGGAGGGACTGGGATTGGAGGCAGATGCCCAGGGTGCAGATCTCAGCTGTGTCCCTGTCTCCCTACGCATTAGTTTAATGCAGCCTTCAGAGAGGTTGGCTCAGGACCGCCAGACAAATGCTTCACCTGTCCATGTGGCTCCGTCCAATTGTCTGTACAGCAGAGTTCCTTCTGATGGCCTCAGACTTGTAAAGACCTCAGCATGGAGCCTGTCTCTGTGCTTGACCTTCGTCAAAGGTCTAGAGACGGTACAAGCACTGTCTGAACTGCGTTCTTTTGTAGTTTTATAATCTGTCACTCAGTTATTAATTCATTTATTGGGAACAGAATGGCCATGGCATTTAAGCCATTTTGTGAAGGCCAGGAAAGTCTGAGCCAGACTTGTCTCATGGCAAAGGTTAAAGATGCAGCGTTTTCACTTTGGGAAAATAGGTATTGCTGCAGAAAGGCATGAACAGGGGCAATGGGCACGGGCAAGGGGGAATGGGCACGGGCAGGGGCAATGGGCACGGGCAGGGGCAATGGGCACGGGCAGGGGCAATGGGCACGGGCAGGGGCAATGGGCA